CTTCTTTTCACACTTCTCTCTCTCTCTCTCTCTCTCTCTCTCTCTCAATCGTGCAACGGATCTTATCTCGTACGGATAGATACTCATCTAATTCGTCCAAATCTCTTTTTTAGAACGCTGAAAAGAAAAAAAAATAAAAAAGAACTTTTCTTTTATTTAAGAACCAATACCATCGAACCGTGAAAATTTATAATATATAATATTGCGATCGTTCGAACTTTTTCTCGATTCTCAAATTCTTACTCAAAATGGATTTGTCCGCAAAAATATCGAACATCTCGCAACATCTTTTTCCGAGGCTTCGAAATCGATTAATAAAATATTTTCTCGCGACGCGTCCGATACAAAAAGAAGGTATTTTCGTAATTTCGAAATTTGGAAAAAAGCAAATTCGTTAGAATTTCTCTCTTCGCACGAACGAAGAAGGAAGATGAAAGATGGAGAAGAAGAAGAAGGGGTGAAGAAGAAAGGGAAGGGTGGGTGGTTGTTGAGGTTTGTTCTCGTCGATCCCACGTTTCGTTTCCATCGTTTCGAAACGATGCTCCTTATTATAATTATATTTACGCCGTAGTTAGTTAATTCTAAGCAGGTTACACCTTTCGTTTATGTATATTTATTTACAGGAACACAGTAAACGTTGCCAGCCACAAACTCAACTCCCTGTCGTAGTCGTCGTCGTCGGTCTAAAGAGATCTATCGATCTCGTCGATTCAACAATTAAATAATAAATTAACAACAATAATCGAACGATCGAGGATTTGTGGTTTTGTGGCGAGCAATTGGCGGAATTGCCTGTAAGATACGAGACTTACGACGACATAATTAATTATTGTTTAAACCTCCTTAGGACTAGACCTTCCCGTTCTCTCTCTCTCATATACACACACAAACACACACACATGTACACGAAATCTCGTCGTCTTAACAACAATCGTTCGCTACAGTATGCCAAATAAAAGAAAAAAAAAAAGAAAGAAAGAAGAAAAAAAAAAAAGAAAGCACACCGATTTCTCTCTATCTTGCTCTTCGATTGATTGTACGGCAGTAAAAACTGTCATACAATGGCAGTAATCTGGTATATAAATGGCAGTAATCTAGATCGCAGGATTTTTTACGAGTCTAATTTTACGAGTCTCTCGAACATCTAAAGTAACACAAGTTGTGAAGAAAGAAAAGTCAACGCGTTTACGTTTCTTCCTATTTTTTCTTTTTCATTATTAAATTAAAAGACTAAATCTACTTGGATAAAGACGCAATTGGACGAGAAAACAAAAAGAATAAATAAAAGAATAAAAAAGACGTACATAGACGTTAAAAACGCATCTTTTATAATATATATATACAGAAAGAAGACAACGCACGGTAAGTTTGGCGAGAGACGTATTCGCGAATAATCCTTCTATGCTCGACTACAGGGTGATGGGAATCAGCAGGCCATTCATTATTCAAATAGCCGGCTAACACATAGCCGGATATCCGTTATTCTATCACGTTCCATCCTCTCTCTTGCCGAACTTTCGACTGTATCGACTGAGGTATCAACCAAGGTTCGCTTGTTATTGCAGGAACGAGCGTTGATTCTCGATTCGTGTGCACCGTGTACACACGTATTTATACGTTTGTTACGCGCGTTATGCACGTATGTGTGAGTCACGTATTTTGGCACTTCTTATGTGATCGATTTATTTATTTATTTATTTATTTATTTATTTATTCACTTATTTACAGAGATTCGCGCGTCAAACTCGTATCGAGAACCGCTTTTAGAACGGGGAGAGGGATATCGATACGAACGCGACCCACGCGAATTCACATCTTTCAGAGGTATTTATAATGTTTATACAATGAATCCTGGAACTGAAATTTATACACTGAGCTATTTACAATTCTCTTACAGCTTACGTCCCGTGGAGGAGAGAAACGACGAAAGAAAGGGGAGCGAGTATATTCTTGAATATTTTTTGCGCATTCGTTCGTTTCGCTCTTCCAACGGGATTCCAACACCGTTCTTGTTTCGGGGACTTTCGGTCTAATATAATTATAATTTGATGTAAAACCTTGATTCGTCTCCCGTTGAGCACCGAAAGTGACTTACTTACCTCGAGGTCGCGATCCTTACGTAAAACATTCGATACGATATAATGATACATTAAAGTATAAGCAATAATACTTTCAACTTGTTTCACAATTTGACTATCGGTGGGTGGATCGTGGTGAAATTGCGATCGCAGGTGTGTCGACCTTTTGTGGCGGGGAGAGCCGTCGAACGAAGGTTGGAATATATTCAAAATCAGGTAGGCGAAATTTGTTATTGCCGCTCCACGATGGCATGCAACTTTTTTTCTCCTATCATTAATTACAACGCTCGCCGAATCCTCGCCAAGTTTCGTTACCCTCTTCCTTTTTCTCGATCTAAGGAAAAAGTTTTTTTCCATTATTCATCATTATCGCTCTTATTGGAAAGGAATTTAATTTAATTAAATTAGACCCGAATTCTCTAGAAAAGCTATAATATACAGGAATTTCCAACTTCTAGCTCGAAAAGCTTAAATATTTCGATATAGCTCTCGAGAGTTGAAATTGTCAAAAGCAAACAATTCTCAAAGCGAAGCATTCCGATCTTTTCCGGAGGAAATTTCCGAAGCGGCAGAACCGCTGTCTTTTATCCGGGAATTGATAAAATCCGGGAACGTCCCCGGAATTCCCTTAACTTCAACTGTGCGAAAGGCGAACGACGTTAAGAGATTTGGACGCCTTAACGACCGAACGATTGCTCCCGTGTCTCGGCCTGTTCGTCGAACAGTAACTTCGAACCGAGAAACACCGGTGAACTCGAAACATCGGGCGATGTGAAAGTCGGTCGATGCGAATCTGAAAGCTCCTCGAAAGCTCCCAGGGATCAGCGTGTCTGATACGGCCGTGAAATAAATTCGCCAAGTTCGTGGAAAAGTTGGCCCGTGTCGATGAAGTTTCGCCTCCCCCGATCTTTCCACGGCGCTGCGTGTTACCTCCCTCCCTCTCTCCTTAAATCGACAGGAAGACAAAGCGGCCACCACCACCACCACCACCTCTCTCTCTCTCTCTCTCGTTTAAATCAAACTTTCCGATTAGGCGCGCGCCCCCTAAGGAGGAACTTAAACGTGGATACGCATGCATCTCAAAGGATTTCTATCATCGTGATACAACGGACTTTGATAAACGATCCCTGGATCTCTGGAGGGTAGACGTAACGATACGATAAACTGGATTTCAGCGGTAAACAAAGAGATGGAAGATAGATACTTCTCGATGGAGAAGTAATTCGCAGGAAATGGAAAATGGGTTGAAATGCGAATTTTACTCGTAACAATGTAAATATCTTTCCACAGGAACGAGAAAATTAAAAAAAGTTTCTAAATATTTTATTAATAATTCCAAACTGTTACTGTTATCTCTCCCTCTCTAAACATTTTTTCGTCCGCTAAAAAATCCGCTTTAAACCTTGTTGATCGGCAAAAAAGAAAGAGAAGATCGACCTGCTCGTAATCAATGAGGCTACTTGCTCCGTAATTTTAAAAAACCGAACGCGATATTGAATACGAACGAGGAGAGACTATGGCTTCGTAACGAGATTTATCGCGTTATTTCTCGTTCACTGGTGTAGAAGGCGGTGTAGAGGGGGGGATAGCCAGTTTTGTCGTTCAGCAATCTGGCAATTATGAGGTCGGCCCGTAAAAGTGTCGGCCCGTGGGCGGCCGACCTCGGCGCATCGTAACTCGGGACAATAGGTGTCCCTCTCGCTGGTGGCTGGTAGAGGTGGTAAATCGGAGGTCGGACAATGTTTGGCGAGGTACGTGGTGCGGCCACCGCGATAACCGGCAATACTTTTACGCCCGTCACCCTATTATGAATGGGCCGTGTTAAACGAGGCGGGAAAAGCTCGCAAGTACATCGCAAAGTGATGATACAGACTGTGTATAACAGGATCTCTCCACCCACAACTCGCGCCCTCTCTTCTCCCTTTCACTCTTATCCACCCCTTCCTCCTTCTCCCTCTTCTCCACTTAAACATACACACTCTCTCTCTCTCTCTCTCTCTCGTCCACGATTCTGACGGGACTCGCAACGAGCAAACTTTTATGACGCCTGATACAGTTGCACCCCATGTGCAAAAAAAAAAGAGAAAGAAAAAAGGAGCGATAAGGATCGAGGCGAGGGTGAGTTTCGAAGCGCGTGTCTCATTTAAATATTCTCGTATCTCCGTTCTTCCGCTCCCTAGCAACGCACCGCAATTTTTCGCGAGACTCTGATTTATCTTGTCGTCGAACAACCTATACAAATTTATTATTTTGTCCCGGAAAATTCTTTTCTTTCTTTTTTCTTTTTCTTTTTTCTTTTATTTTTTATGCGATTGGAGGTAATTGTAATCAAGATATCTCTCCTCTCCCTTTAATCTCCGATATATCCTGTTTTCCCGGTAAATATGAAAATAACGAAATAATGGACAATGGCCTCGTTTTTTTTTTTTGTTTCAATACGTATATACATACGTATATATGTATGTATGTATGTATAACGGCGGTTAGTTTTATTGGTTTCGCCGGCTGTCTGGTGATTAAAACTCCGGATGGATTTTAAAGATATTTGCCGGGCAAGGTTTTTCCATATTAATCCCGCGGGTCCCTGCTAAAACATTTCTCCCGAATCGTTCCTTCTCCTCTTCTCCACCTTAACTAATACACACTCTCTCTCTCTCTCTCTCTCTCGTCCACGATTCTGACGGGACTCGCAACGAGCAAACTTTTATGACGCCTGATACAGTTGCACCCCATGTGCAAAAAAAAAAGAGAAAGAAAAAAGGAGCGATAAGGATCGAGGCGAGGGTGAGTTTCGAAGCGCGTGTCTCATTTAAATATTCTCGTATCTCCGTTCTTCCGCTCCCTAGCAACGCACCGCAATTTTTCGCGAGACTCTGATTTATCTTGTCGTCGAACAACCTATACAAATTTATTATTTTGTCCCGGAAAATTCTTTCTTTCTTTTTTTTTTTTTTTTTTCTTTATTTTTTATGCGATTGGAGGTAATTGTAATCAAGATATCTCTCCTCTCCCTTTAATCTCCGATATATCCTGTTTTCCCGGTAAATATGAAAATAACGAAATAATGGACAATGGCCTCGTTTTTTTTTTTTGTTTCAATACGTATATACATACGTATATATGTATGTATGTATGTATAACGGCGGTTAGTTTTATTGGTTTCGCCGGCTGTCTGGTGATTAAAACTCCGGATGGATTTTAAAGATATTTGCCGGGCAAGGTTTTTCCATATTAATCCCGCGGGTCCCTGCTAAAACATTTCTCCCGAATCGTCTGGTTAAAAATAAATTCGACCGAACTCGTCGAATCTTTATTCCTTCGAACGCGTATCATGGTCTCCCGCCCGTGTCTCGATTATTCTTCGATCGATCGATCGTTTTCGCGCGTATGAAAAAAAAAAAAAAAAAAAAAGGAAGAAAAAGATTCGATGGAACGACGCATTCGAATGAAACGGGAGCAACAGATTGGGCGAGTTTTCGCAAACGAGACAATACTTTCGCCGCGGTGAATTCTGCCACGAATGGGGCGTGTTAAACCGGACGAGAAAAGCTCGTGGACCGTAACACAGATTATGTATAACAGGATCCGTTTCTAACCGTCCCGCGCCATCATTCCATCTCTAACCTCTAATTTTGAACAATATTATACATATATATATAGCTCTTGTCCGATTCCAGTCTGTTACATTTCTCAGAAGTATTATTATGCTGATTCGTAACCACGAAAATCACTATCATGCAAATACGTTTACGGTGGCCGAGCAATTTAAATCGATCCTCTTGTTTCTCGGCTCCGGTTGTTTCTCGATCGTCCAACAATTCTCTCACGGGATTCTCCACCCTTGTTTTCGCGGCGAGATTTCGAGCGAAACGATCGTACGAGAAACCCGTAAATCTTTGCCATTGAAAAAGAAAGGAAAAGTCACGTTTCACGAGATCATTTGCTTTTCTTTTTTATCCGGAGCCTCGGCCATTTTTGTTCACGGAATAAAACTTTCCTCTTCTTCTTTGGCGAATACTTTATACGCGGTGGAAAGAAATTTCTCCCGATAAAAATAATGAAATAATACGTTAAACTTTGGACTCCGTACGGATTCCGCGAGAAGGTATGATGATAGAAATTCTTTACTCTAAACTTTTGATTATTATTCGCTCGATCGGTTTTTCACTCCTCGAATTTTCACTTTTGCCTCTCGAATTCTCTCGAGGATTTTTCTTTCACGCGCGTTGTGATCGAACCGTTGCTATTATTTTTTAATAGTAACGAACAGTTGCGACTAATTGCGAACACTCGTTCGGTCGGAAAATTGTATAGGCGAGGGACGAATGAAACGAATTGTTATTAATTTGTAATGGAAAAGAAGATGGTGGACATATATTTTACAAATTTCACGAGAATTAGCGAGAACGTTTGAGATTTAAAACGGAATAAAATTTGCTCGATTCAGCCTCGGTTATTGCATTAATACGAGTAATATATTTTTGTTTTTCCACGAGGCGATATAAAATATTACACTGGAAATGTTGTCTGCGCGAATTTATAAGATGAAATATAATTGTCAGTCGTAGCGATAAATTTCGTCAAGCGTCTGATACATGCTCGATTTATACTACTTGACGCGTTAAATATTCGAGAGCCGAATAAATTTCTCGACTTTGACGGTAACGAATAAACAGACCAAAATAAATGGAAATATTCGAGATTTATTCGATCTAATAATTAACTAAAAAAAAAAAAAAACAAAAGAATAATAAACTTTCTAAAAAAGATATAAAAATATAATATTAAAAAAAAATAATGAAAAAAAAAATAAGAAATGTCTGGTTAAGGTAATTCTTGAAATCCATCGAATTGTAAAAAGCAAGTTTTAACGTTTGATCGTTTCGAACGTGATGCTTTCGCGTCAAATGAAATCGCGAAAACATTAAATTTTAATCTAGCTCGAACGATATAAACAGGGAATACATTAAATACAAGCGTCGAACCGTTCTTTTCTGTAATTCAACAGTAGTGAAAAGCGGGATCGAGGCCATTAGTCCGTACGCTTCCATTGTCGCCCGCACTGTCGTAATTTTCTGCTTATTAATCGAAACTCGTGTCACGGTAAACGCGCGTCATGTCCGCCGCGCCATCGAACGCGTTACATTCACCGAAGATAACGCTCCTCCCATCATCGCGTCAAAAAACAATTTTGGGTTATTTTGAAATATCTGGTGAAACGTGTACTTTCCAACCATTTCCGACGAACGTTATCGCGTCGAAGGAACGGCATTATCCGCGAATCACATCCGTGCTAAACAATGAAAAATTTAACCGGCGGGTAATCGACAAGTAATCGCGGGGGAGGAAAATAATAGCGGAGGATAAGAAGATAGCGAAGGGGGGGGGGATACGGAGTGGCTTAACCGTGGCTTCGTGGATCTAGGTTAACTTGGGTTATCATCTATTTAAGGAGTAATTTGCATAACCTCGATTCTTCGTCTGGCCGAGGAGGCTTGCCTCTCGCAAGAGCAAACTGGAGTCAACTTGAATCAACCTTAACACACACCCGACGCCGTTTTAAACAATCTCCCAATAACGATGTTCCTTCTTTGCCATGTAAATTTTCCAATCTTTCTAGGGTTTAAGGTAAAAGTAGGGTAATATCGTCTTTTCTAACATTAAACGATTACCTTTTTCTTTTTTTCTTTTTCTTACCGTATTTCATATTTTATCGGAATAAGAAGAAACTTAACAAAACTAACAACAACGCAACAATATAACGATTCATCCATATGCCCGTTCGCGATGCCTGTTCAATTTTCAACCAGCGTTCCAACAAAGATGATTACACAGTGGTACACTCATTAACCACTTACCCTATTTTCTTTCATTTCAATTTCCCTTTAAACGAAACGTTGTTTCGTTCCTCCAATTTCCAATCGATTTTTCAATTCAAAGAAACGAAATTCGAATCGATATCCTCAAGTGGACGAAACTTGAAACGTGGTGTATTAATTCCTCGTAACGAGGATGGAATAGAACAACGAACGACAAATAGAGAGAGAGAGAGCGAAATGGATAAAATTCACGTCGGTCGTGCGATACACGCGGTTCCTATCCGTACACGCATCTAAATAGGGAGGCGTGTATTCTATCGGCGGGCAACGGGAATACACCCGTGGCGTGTAACGACGTCACCGAGCAGTATCTCTGTTACGCCTGGCTTCCCGTCCACTGTACCCGCTCACGCATCGCTTAACATAATCCCCCATCCGACCAGCGCTACATAGATTACGAAATGATACCTCTGAAACGCGTACAATTATATTGGCGTGAGATATTTCGCCCGTGCGCGTTGTTTCGTGCCTCGAATCCGAATCGTCTCGTCTCGTCCGCGCGCATCGTCGTCCGTTTTCATCCGCCGCGACGTGGCTCGGGTAAAACCTGTTCGCGCCTAATTCGCGGGCCGTTCTTCGATCGATCCGATCTCGAAGCTGTTGTAAATTTTGTTTACCGGATGCTCGCGGTGTACGAATACGATATTTTACGATTATTTTTCGCACGAGAGAGATATCTTGATTAAATCGTCGGAGGTAGCAATTACGGAGGATGGTAGGAGGAATTATAATGTAGCCGGTTTCGGCTGGTTTCGTGGTCCGAATTCGAATGAAGTTTATCGTTCGACCGCGTGGCGCCTCGTTGGCGACGCTCCCTTCCTCCTCCTCCTCCTCCCTGTCCCAAGATAAATCTAAAACGCCGCGCTAATTCGCGATTTCATTTAAATGCTAATCCCAAAATAGAGACAGAGTGGTTTCTCGATGCAGGAACCGTAATCCTGGGATTGGAGATCCGTCCGAGGAATCTCCTCGAACGGACGAATCTCTCTCTCTCTCTTTCTCGTTCTCGTACGAGGAATCACGTTCCCAGTACTTTTTCTCCTCAAAATGTCCATGTTTTCGAAGAAATCTTTACTCGAAAGATATCTCCTTCGTATCGACGAGGAAGGGAACTTTTCAATTTCGAATCGAGCCAACTTTCCAGCTACGAGACACTTCGGAACGATATCGAAGCCCTTTTCGCGCGATCGAAACTTTTCACTACTGGCTTCCCTGGCCGGCTCGCGTGACCGACCAACGGAATTATCCACACAAATGGTTTCCAACTATTCCCTTGGAATTTTATTATGCGTTGACATCACAACGCTGGTGGAGCGTCGTTAATTCTCATTAATCAGTTTATTTCCGGCTAGTTTTTAGTAGCAACGACCGATAGTCGATTTCAAAAATTCGTCAACGGTGAATGAACGCGTATCTCGATTGAACACGAGGGATAAAAGAGAAAAAGGGGACTTAAGAAGACGTGATAAAAGTGTCGTAAATTTTCATGAACGAATGCTGAACAGAGGGTAGTATTTAATTATCGTGGCCCGGGAAATTGAATTACAGATAAAACACGGCCAGTTATTAATATTTGCGCTTCGTTCCGGCTGGATTATGAAATGTTGGCGCGAATTTGAATTTATCCCGGCCCCATTTCTTCATGAATCGAACGCTTTTCGATTAAACCGTTCGTACTCGATACGGCGGGATTCGTTCATCAGCCGAAATTGGATTCTCCGTATCGTTTGATGTCTTTGTGTCTTCTTTCGATAATTAATTCGCGCGGCAAGAGCTATTTTAATTTACCACCCCCCTCAGACAGACGATATCCGCGAAACCCAATTACACGTCACGTGCTGCCGATTACACCGATATGGTAATGGAGAGTTTCTTAATTACAGGCCAGCGGGATGATTAATACGTTCACCTGAAAATCATAGTAATTTCGGTCTTTGAGAGGGCCACGCGTGCCCCCTTTCACCTAATGTTTTTACACCTCCTCTCAACTTTTATCGCGTTAAAATTTAAAAACTCTCTCGCTTCGTTTCAACTTTCAACGCATATATATACCGTTTCTCATTCGCTATATGGATTCCTTTTTAACGCGTAATTCGAATAAATCGTTCGCGCGACGATCAACAAAATGGCGCGAATCGAAAAGACGTTGAAAAAAATCAGAGTGGAGGGTTGAATTTTCCATCGAGACTTCGCATTAACATTTGCCCAATATTAGATAACAATATCGCGAACGAAAGGAAAAGAGAATTGAGATTGAAAAAAAGAGGAAAGAGAGAGAGAGAGAGGAATGAGGAGGCGAAATTTGTAAAAGTTGAAACGTGTCGGGCGGAAAATCAGCGGGCGGCGAGTTTTTGCCGAGATACGTGAAATTTTTTTTTTTTTTTGAGGAACGAAATTTTTCGCCGGCGAGCAACCAACCGTTTCGATAATTGGATTCTGGCGACCGTTTTTAAAAATATCGCGTTGCGTTTCTGCCTTCCTTCAACCTTCTTCTCCTCGATTCCGCGAGGACGCGGCGCCATTTTTCACGTGCCCAAGCATTAATCAATTCTCTCCTTCTCTCTCTCTCTCTCTCTCTCTCGAGCGTTGTCTACTTGAACGCTACTTCCTGCTTGAAAAGTCTCTCTCTCTGCCTCGAGATTTCCCTCGCCCACGCATCTACTACACCCGCGTAGACTTTGTTTCGAATCGCGCCCTCGATTCTTGTCTTTTCTCCATCCCTCGATCGTGCAATCTTTCAGATTTATCCGGGTAACGTTGCAGTTCTATTCGACTGATCGAATCGTTATTGCGTATTCTTTCGTTACGAAAGGAGAAGATGGGAATCGGTGGAGGAGAATTCAGAGTTGGGCCAGAGTTTTTGTTATTCTCGAAGGGCGAATTTATCATTTCGAACGGGGAAAAGAAAGGCGAGTTTGATTGTTTTCGAAATTTATCGCGCCACGTGTTAATTAAGGAATATGCGTCCTTTCGACGAAAAGACCGAGAGATCTGAGAAATTTCAAAGAATTGGAGCATTCGCTTTTGTCTTTTCCCCAATATCCCTCTCTATCTTCAACGTTCGTTAATTCGATCGTTTTCAAAGATCTTGATCACGATCGCTGATTTCCTCGTCTCTTATAGATCGAATAGATAGAAGAAGGAACGGTTTTCATTCAACGGTTGATGAAATTAACCTGAAACCAGGATATCAAAGCAAAACGATATTTCTACGAATTAATTAATTGAAAGTAGCATGCCATCGACGTATTTCTAACGAATATCATCGTAATAAAACGTCGGAATAATAATAATTAAGATAAATAGTTAAGATAAATATCAACGGATGCGCACTCTTTCCTCCCCCTTTCCTAATTGTATGTCGATTAATTATTTATAGCATCCCGATACAACGTCATATTGCTCCTGTATACAACAACCGTGTGCTGCGTTCACCGTTCATACGTCATTACTTCTGACAAATAATTTACCAAGATAATTCGCCTCGCAATAACTATCCGATGCTAATTAAGCCCGTAATCCGGCAGCCAACCTATAACGTAATTCAATTATTCTAATTAATATTCGATTGCAATTAACAATCCAATTGAAGGTATACAACAACCACCTGGCAAATAATTTCGTCTGTTTTCGCTAATGCATCCCATCAACCGTCAATCTAATATCCGGGATATATCATAGCCGGGCTGGTAGTCGATGATCGTTTTCGCATCTACGAGCGAAGCTATTCTATCTCCTTTCGAAAACAATATAAAAACGGTTCGAATACATTTCAATCGATATCTTTCGCAAAGAAAATACCTCCTCCTCCTCCTCCTCCTCTTCTTTGTCGAATGGATCGACGTGGAAGAAAGAAATATCCCTCTCTATCTTCAACGTTCGTTAATTCGATCGTTTTCAAAGATCTTGATCACGATCGCTGATTTCCTCGTCTCTTATAGATCGAATAGATAGAAGAAGGAACGGTTTTCATTCAACGGTTGATGAAATTAACCTGAAACCAGGATATCAAAGCAAAACGATATTTCTACGAATTAATTAATTGAAAGTAGCATGCCATCGACGTATTTCTAACGAATATCATCGTAATAAAACGTCGGAATAATAATAATTAAGATAAATAGTTAAGATAAATATCAACGGATGCGCACTCTTTCCTCCCCCTTTCCTAATTGTATGTCGATTAATTATTTATAGCATCCCGATACAACGTCATATTGCTCCTGTATACAACAACCGTGTGCTGCGTTCACCGTTCATACGTCATTACTTCTGACAAATAATTTACCAAGATAATTCGCCTCGCAATAACTATCCGATGCTAATTAAGCCCGTAATCCGGCAGCCAACCTATAACGTAATTCAATTATTCTAATTAATATTCGATTGCAATTAACAATCCAATTGAAGGTATACAACAACCACCTGGCAAATAATTTCGTCTGTTTTCGCTAATGCATCCCATCAACCGTCAATCTAATATCCGGGATATATCATAGCCGGGCTGGTAGTCGATGATCGTTTTCGCATCTACGAGCGAAGCTATTCTATCTCCTTTCGAAAACAAATATAAAAACGGTTCGAATACATTTCAATCGATATCTTTCGCAAAGAAAATACCTCCTCCTCCTCCTCCTCCTCTTCTTTGCGAAATGGATCGACGTGGAAGAAAAGAAAAGGAAAAAAAAAAAAAAAGAAAAAAAACGAAAGGGGCGCGTTTCCATTATCGATACGTTATCTTGGATATATTAATAAAAGATATCGAAGATACCGTGGTGCACGGCTCCCCCCTCCTCCCCCCATCCCCTGTGGGGATGATATCGCAGGGATGCAACGAAGGTCGACACGACAGGGCGCGAGAGGGAAGCGTGGAAGTGGACGAACATCGGCCGATCGGCTCTTTCCTCGGCTCCATCCCATTCTAATTCGCCGTCTGGGGCACGTACGGGGGCATGTAGGGCCCCGTGAGGATGTACTGCACCGCAACCACCATCAACTGAGGGGCGCTCCACCTTATGATGTACGCGCTTCCTGAAACAGAAATGCATTTTTCTCGTTTACTCGCCTATATTCCCGAGATAAAAAGGACGAAAAAGCTGGTGCATGTCTCGCGAGTTCTCTTACGAGGAAGGAAGGATGTATATGGATGTGGATGTGAAAATTTCGAATCGAAAGCGTATATCATGTGCCGTTTGGAATTCGCTTGTTTCTGAACCCCTTGTTATTGAAATGGTTTCGAGAATTGATTGTATCTTAAATATGGAATTTTATACGGAACGCGATATAATGTGATCCGAATAGAATCGTTCGCGTTCTTTCGCGTTCGATGCCAAATCCAATTGGAGCGAAGGGAGGGCGGAGATTATAATTTTCCGGTTACGCGAGTCGCATCCCCCGGATTACGTTTTGTTATTGGCTTATGCCGTAAAATCTGATCATATTAATCAATGCGCCGTGACTGCTCGACCGTTCCTAATTTCCAAAGCTTATTATCGTAATTATTAGGTGTCAAAATGTTTTCGAATTTCGTTTAAAATTTCGCCGAGTTGTCTTCGCCATCGAATCGCATGATGAAAAAATTTTACACGCTTTTTTTTTGAAATTCGACGAGAAAGAAGAAGGGAAGGGATAGTAAGAATTTTTAATGTTGGTGTGATAATTCGTACGAAAATAACGGTGTTTGGAAGGAAGTTCTTTAGAAGGGGAGGGAAAAAAAAAAAAATGATATTTATTCGAGCGAATTTTCCTTAAAGCTTCCCCTATCGATGGAAGTTTCGTGCGTCGCATCGTTCAGAATTTAAATTAACATTTAAGGTAGCACATTTTCGAAATACTTGGCGTGCACCGGCATACGTGGTGAACGTTTCGCCGGCGAAAACTTGCCGGAAGGGGAGGGAAGAAAACTCGTACTCGAAGCAAGGAAAAAGCGAAGAGTTTCGAGCGGAACTTTTAGTCTAAAGTCCCTCGGGTGTTCCTTTCGCGCTATCTCTGATCTAAGCTCGCTCGAGCAACGACCAAGATCTCATTGCTTTTCCAATAAATACACCCTTTCTCGATATATCGGCGGGAGCCGTTCCTTCTATCACGGATGCTGCACCTAAATTCTCTTGTGTTGAAGATGCCGATCTTGAAATAAAATTCTACAACGTTTCCCGCTCGCGTTTCCGATCATTTTCTACGAAAATATTCTTTTGAAACGTATCTCGAAGTATTTTCAAAGCATTGTCAGGATGGGATAGGAAATACGAGACGTCCAAGTAAGTTTTTCATCCACGATTTATACTTAGAAGGATCAAATCTTTAATAACGATTAAAATTTAAACGAAGAAACGAGGATTATTAAGAAACTTTTTCCACCTTTTTTATTACACATTTTTCTCGAGATTGAGAGAGCTTCTTATATTATTCGTGTAAAATATAATACGTAATACGAAAAAATAATACAAAGTATAACGATTTTCTCCCTTCTCCGTACGAACCAAGAACGTGGATTTGATTCGAGACGACGAAAAAGAGAGAACAAGAAAAATAACAAATTGACACCGGCCAATTTCTTCTCTAATCCCTGTTCTCGTTCTCGTCGAAATTAAATCAAAGTTATCAAGAGAAGCCCCTGAATCTAAGAATCACCTGCCAATCCGATCCATCGAGTTCCTCGCCCTTCCGTTTATACGCAGGCATCAGATGCGAAGAGCGATATTACATTTCGCGCATCAATTTTTCCACGTTTTTAATCGAATATCATATTCAAACTGTCCCTTCAAATAAGAGATCGTCCTTCCTCTTAAAAATCCGGTATCGAGCGAAGCTTCCAAGATGGATGGAATTAAGTGGCAACTTGTGAAACATAATTTATCGCGTCTCGACTATTTATCTCGGGCTCGCTCGAATGCAGCGAATGGAGTTATAAATAATCCGGCGAGAGATGGGGAATACGTATCGGGCAAATAAACGTCTGAAACGTTGAATCGCGGCCGAAATTACAAATCGCGGTGGTTTGCTCGCGGTATCGGTTATCGGCCGATGAAAAATTTCAAATTGGATGCCGGTCGACAAACGACAAAAGCAGCAGCCTCTTTCGCCCCGCAAAAAAACTCCCCCTTTCCAATTCCTCCTCCTAAGATTTTTATTTACATCCGCCGTTCTGATTTATCGTTGATCCGCATCACGTTTCCCCCGTATTCCACCGTATATTCCTCCCATGCGACTAGCTGGTGGAAGTTTCGCGTCCAAGATATATATATATTGGTCGTTCCGTCATCGTGGCTCCGGGTGGAATGGTTGAAAAACAGGTGGGGATGGCACACGCGAAAAGGGGTACGCGCGAGAGGGGAACAAAGGAAGGAAAAATCACAAAGAGGCGAAATGAGAAAAGCCCATTCGTGTAATAATAGAACGAAGAGGTGGGGCAATGTCGACGCGGATGGAGGAGAAAGGGCGGAAGAAGGGCGCAAAGAGACGAGCGGAGGAGAGGAGAGAGAGAGGGAGCGGATTATCGCGAATCGGGCATTGGATCGGTGAAATAAAATGGGAAGCAGCGCGATGTTGGAGATATCGGCGGCCGTTGGAGCGGAACGCAGACGTAGGTATTATTATTGACACTTCGCTTCTGGCCGAAGAATTATGTATTTTTCATAGCGTATGTCGGCGGACACGGTCGTTCGCGAATGCAAGTAACAAGGTTGGCGACGACCGGCCGAAACTACTACGCCGTGACGACGACGCGGCGACGACGACGCGACGCCGGCGACGTAAACTCGATCGTAGCTCGCTCGAGATAGAGAGGCGATGTCGCTCGAAAAGTTCTCTCTAAATCGGAAAACGCCACCGTGAATTTTAATGCCGAGATATCGACAGCCGTCGATGCGAGGAACGAGGGCCCTCCGATCGAACAGGGCGTGTTTATTAACCGCGATTATTAACTCTCTCCTTTATAGTTCCTCTGATAGGCGAGATATTTAACGAAGCGTTTAATCCTATCGCACGTTTTTTTATTATATTCGTAAATTTTCATAGTTTTCTAGTTTCGTGCAACGCTTACAAAGAATTCGAAACAGTTTGAGATTTTGTCTCGTTCAGAGGGATTTTGATTCAAATTCTTCTTCTAAAGTGCTCATTTTATTTCTCATCGTACGATTTGTACTTATTAATAGTCGATCTCTTTCGAAGAGAGATTTCCACGCAGGAACGTTTCGATATTGATATTTCATACGCGTTATCCTTCGTTTGGTTTCACAGCGGCGATTCACGGTGGAATTATTCATGGAAAAAAGCAAATTGGCCGCGTGTGGGCTGATGCGATTTCGCGGCGCTTTTTCGAAGCCGTTGCGAGTTACGTCGCGAAGAATCTCGGTTAATCCGGGTGCATGCCGGTGAATTTTAATGCAACGTCTCGATATCGACAGGTGTCGACGTTGGCGAAGCCGTGAAATTTTTCGATGACGCTCACCGTCCCCGCAGATTTATTATCATCGCCCTCGATCCATCCCCTTATCGAACGAACATTTGCCAATTTTAAACCGACTCGAATCTATCCCGACAACCGATTAACCGTTCCTCGTTTTGTCGATACGTCGCTCATCATTCGCCACCGATTATTGTCTCCGAATGTTATTTAACGCACTCTTCTTCTTCTTTCCTGCATACTTCACGTCGAAAGTCAATTGAATCGAAAATTCTGTTTTATGGACTGTTATATGATCCATCGATGTGACACGATGGAAAAAAAAAAAAAAAAGATAAAGATTGATTTGAGAATATAAACTTAATTAACCGTCTAATGGAAGAAATCGTTCGCCATTGATAATCTTGCGACAGAAGACGCGTCTTTCAGTTTTTCTTCCTCTTATTCGAAAGTCGCAAATAACAAAATTCACGTTGTCAAAAGGAACAGTGGGAGGAGGAGAGGGAGGAGGGGAAGAAATTGCGGAAAAACTGGATTAGCCCAGTCATCGATTTTCGTAACGCCATCTCCTATCTAGCTTCTCGTTTTTGCGATCCATTAAAACGACGCTCAAACTTCCCTATCGCTAATTTAATCAACGATAAGGGCGAACTTTGGTCGCGTACCGTAACGCCGGTGGCAAACATTTTTATCAGCCGACACCGCTTTGCTTTTTCGCTCTGTGCCCATTTTCCTTTCCCTCCTCCTCTCACTTTCTTTTTTCTTTCCTTAATCCAAAACTTACAATCTCGCCACTTGCCGCTCACTTTTGTTTCTTTCTTCGTTTTTTTATCCTTTCTTCTTCTTCTTCTTATTATTATTATTATTATTATTATTAACGACAATAAGCACCATTCCACGTTTAAAATGGGAGAAAAAAGTTTCCTCCTTCCGTGGTTAATTCAACGTCGCTCGTGTCCTATATCGAAATCTATATACGATTAAACTCTCTTCGAACGGAATAATCCGCGGAATAATCAAACAAAATGATTCTTTTCTTCCCCCCCCCCCGCCCCCGTCCTCCCTTTTTTTTATTTTCTTTCTCCACGCCAACACATTTAGATAAGCGTTGTCAAGTATCAAAGGAGTGACACGTCCGCGCTACCTATCTCGCGCTACGAAAAATGAGGTGAGAGGTGATTCTTTTTTCCTTCCGGCACGTCGAAAGGGAGGGGGAGGGAGGAGATGGGAGAGGAGATGGCGCGATCAGCTTATAGCGATCGTATCGAGGCATAAGCCGACCTGATTTACGATCCGTGCATCCACGCGAAATCTGCGCCGTACATCCACGTTCCAATTTATATTTATTGCAACGCAAACATCGTATCGTGTGCATATTGGAACGTCATGGAACAGCCAACGTTTCGGAGAATCAAACGTGACGTTAATGGAAACGGTTTGCCGGTTCTTCTTCCTTTTCTTTCTTCTTCCTTTTCTTCTTTTTTTTTTTTATTTTCACAGGGAGGAAGGGAGCCGACAGAGACGTCGGCTTTAAGTGGCAAGACGAGGCCAGTTATAACGTTATAAATCGATGAGGGGGAAATGAGGTCGAAGGGAATAAGAAGGTTATCGAGTTATCGCTTATATA